ATTCCATTAGCAGGACATTTAGGGGGTAACCGCACCACCTACAAGATCACCCAGACCTTCTTTTGGCCAGGGATCTCGAAGGATGTGCAGAGTTACTGCAGCACGTGTGACGTCTGCCAACAACTAGGGAAGAGGGGGGATCACCCTAAGGCTCGACTGTCACCTATGCCCGTGATCGAGGAACCGTTTAGCAGAGTGGCAGTCGACCTGGTAGGGCCCCTACCTAACCCCAGTCCCTCCGGTAAGAAATATATTCTTACCGTGGTGGACTATGCTACACGCTACCAGGAAGCCGTTGCTCTGACAAATATCCAGGCTGACACTGTCACCAGTGCTCTAGTCTGGATATTCACCAGGGTGGGATTCCCTCAGGAAATACTGTCTGACAGAGGGACACAGTTTACCACAGACTTATGGAAGGTCTGCGGTATTAAGACCCTCCTCAGCTCACCCTACCACCCTCAGACTAACGGTCTCTGTGAGCGCTTTAATGGTACCCTAAAGCAGTTACTGTGGACCTTTACAGCGGAATACAGAGACTGGGAGCGATTCTTGCCGCACCTCTTGTTTGCATATCGGGAGGTGCCGCAGGAGTCCACTGGGTTCTCTCCGTTTTAACTGCTCTATGGAAGGAGAGTTCAAGGCCCTCTCGATCTCATCTGAGAGCACTGGGAAGGAGAGATGGAACATGAGGGTGTCCCCATTGTGCCATATGTTCTGGAGATGTGGGACCGCATGGAGCACTTAGCTCGGATGGCATGAGACCATCTCCAGGCGGCCCAGGGTCGTCTGAAACGTTGGTAAGATCAGGGCGCCCGTCAGAGAACATTCCAGGTGGGACAGAAGGTTCTGGTGCTTAGACCCGTTAAGGGGAATAAACTCCAGACCTCCTGGCAGGGCCCTTACAAGGTAGTAGCGCAAGTCTGCGACACTACCTATGTGATCGCCAGTAACAAAGATGAGAGGATTCGGAAATCATTTCATGTTAATCTGTTGAAAGAGTATCAAGAGAGGCCAGAGGATATTGCAGCCATATGTATTCCTGCTACTGAGGACCCTGACAGCCTACCTATTCCAGACCTTCTAGCACGCTCAGAAACCACTAGCTTGCTCAGTACAGTGCAAGTAGGGGAGCGTTTAACTCCAGCTGAAAAGGGTCAGATCAGACAGTTATTAACTGAAAAAGGGTTAATGTTTTCCCAGGAACCAGGATACACCCCGCTAGTGACTCATTACGTAGAGACACAAGGACAAAACCCTCTTAGGCAGACCCCCTACAGAATCCCTGAGGCAGTAAAGGAGGAGATGTGGAAGGAAATCCAGGAGATGTTGAGACTAGGGGTCATAGTGCCGTCTGATAGCCCCTGGGCCTCGCCCCTTGTCCTAGTACCCAAAAAGGACAGAACTACCAGGTTCTGTGTTGACTATAGGCGCCTCAATGACCATACAGTGACGGATGCCTACCCCATGCCCATGAGTAGACAAACTATTAGATCGCATTGCCAGGGGGCGATATCTGACCACCATTGATCTGTGCAAGGGATACTGGCAGATTCCCCTGGCCAAGGAAGCTATCCCCAAGTTGGCGTTCTTTACCTCGTTTGGCCTGTACCAATTCAAGGTCATGCCATTCAGGATGAAAAACGCCCCAGCTACATTTCAGCACTTGGTAGATAGACTCCTTGATGGCTTCCAGGACTTGGATGACATTGTGATCTATAGCGAAACGTGGGGAAAACACTTAAGGCATGTAGAGGCCGTACTGGATCAGATTCGTGCTGCAGGCCTAACACTGAAACCAGAAAAGTGCCATTTCGGCATGGCCGAAGTTCAGTACTTGGGACACAGGGTAGGGTGTGGCAAACAGCGACCAGGACCAGCTAAGGTTGAGGCTGTAGCCAACTGGCCCACACCCCACACCAAGACTCAAGTATTGGCTTTCTTAGGGACAGCCGAGTACTACAGGAAATTTGTCCCTGACTACAGCGCCATTGCTAAACCCCTGACAGACCTAACTAAAAAGAACCTACCAAGAATAGTCCTGTGGTCTCCCGCCTGTGAAACAGCCTTCCAAGCATTAAAGCAAGCCTTGATCAACGCACCTGTTTTGTCTGCCCCCGTCCCTAACAAAAGATTTGTCGTCCATACAGATGCGTCCATGTACGGACTGGGGGCAGTTCTAAGCCAGATCGGGGACGATGGAGGGGAACACCCTGTCGCGTACCTGAGTAGAAAGTTATTACCCAGGGAAGTGAGCTACGCGGCAGTGGAGAAGGAGTGTTTAGCCCTGGTCTGGGCTTTAAAGAAACTTACACCATATCTGTATGGTCAGGAATTCACCCATAATTCCCTGGTATGGTTGAACCGAGTGGCTGGGGACAATGGACGCTTGCTGAGATGGATAAAAGAAATACAGTATTTTCCAGTGGGACACTTACATAAAGGAATAAAACAAAAAGATTCTCAGTACACCTTAGTGAGTGCCCTTCACCCTCACATCAAACAAAGTTTACATACAATATAAGGTGGAGTATCTTCTTGTTAAAATCAATGGAGATGGAGCTTAGCACTACAACCATACAATTTCTCCATTCAATACCGCCCTGGCAAGTTCAATGGAAATGCGGATGGACTGTCCAGGCAAACCGAACTTCTACCCTGACAGCCGACCAGACAACCCCAAGTTGACCCGAAAAGGATCAATCCTGGTCTGCTGGAGTGTTCCACAAAAGGGGAGCAGTGTAGCAGAACTTTACTTTCTGCCTGGGCATATTTGGCACTAACTGAGACTAATCATACAAGAGAATACGCTTACTTGGTTATTGTGGATTATTATAGCACAGTTCGGGACTTTTGTTGCCAGCATTCGTCTATTTGTGCAATCCGTGCGGTAGAGATTCAGCAGGCACAAATACGAATACCAACTACCGAACACGGGACCACTCTGCTATTAAATTATGTGGTATTTTACCTCCCAGACCGGCATATACCATTCGTATGAGAAATGCACAAATCCTTTGTCTCAGATCCAAGGTGGCTGCCATTTCGGGACTTTTGCACGTGTTCGCGGCTATCTTAACACACGAACAGCAGCGATTTGCCGTTGAGTGTCTGGAACCAAAATCGGACACTCGAGTAGGCGAACACCGCTGAAGCCTCCATAACACCGTAAATTCGTGCTGAAACTACCGAACGCCCTGCCATTTGGTAGATAGGATATATTACGTGCGGGGATTCCAGCGACCAGCAAGATATGCACGGATGGCAGGATTTTCGTGCCTTTTCATCGGTCAAAACTTCAAGGTCCCATAACTCTCGAACGCTTTCACCGAATGGGATGATTTTTCTATATGTTGTTCCCCTAGATGAGGGCTATCTGGGGATACTGAATTTAAGGGTGTACTTCAAGTATTCGGGGTACATCCAAAACTTGGGTAAAAATGTGTGTGTGTTAATTATGTTAACTGTTTATCTGAGGGGAGGAGACGTGTGGGATGTACCATGTTTGTTATTGGGTACTGTACTAATTATGTAGGTGTCACCCTCCCAAGGGCAGAATTGCATAAAAGGAGAATCCCTGTCAATAAAAGCCAGTTGTTGTGGTCGTGACCTAAATATGAATATTAATCTCTTAATACATAATAATTAAGCAATACGGAACAACATTAATATTTTTATAATTCATGGTATTATGGTCGAATATGTGGATAGAAAATACACAAAACGTTGTAATATTAAATGTATATTTAATATAACTATAACAAATAAACAGATGCTAGCAGAATGTCAATTTACTACAATTATGATACAATACAAAACTACAACATATTACTTACAAAAGGTTGCTACTTACAAGGCCCCAGCCCTTTGGCTGGGGTTAAGTCAGAGCTGGTACTACATCTTAGGTTCAGTCAGGTACAGGCAAAGAGACAGAGTTTTCTCCTCCATCTGGTTTTATTCAGTGTAAGTAGGCTGGCATGTGATGTCACTGCCAGAAGCACATGTCTTCCTACACACTCCCTCTAGTGGTGCCCCCAAAGCATTACACTAAATATGCTTTCTTTATGATGTAAAGTCATTAATTAGTAAATACCATTACAAACCACCCTTTGACTTATGTCATAAAACAAGCATTTATAAAACCAGTACATTTTGAATATTCCCCATTTTAACACTACCTGCCCTACAACAAAACCCACCTTTTGAAGAACGATACCCATTTACCCATTAATTATTACCCATTAACATTTTATTGCTTATAAATGTTCACCATTGAGCACATGCATTACCAGTTGGGAAATAGGCACATACCCACCCTTATAATAATGAACAACTCAAACCATGTTTTATTATATTAACCAATGATATTGTGGTCATGTGAGGATGTGTTTTGGAGCTTAATATAGTATTAGACACCACAAACTCATAACACCTATGAATCATGGCACAGACCGACTCGATTTCTGTAGCCTCTGGCTGGTCTGTGTGCCTGGAATTTTCACAAACATTAGTCCTGGAAACTGGATACTCTATTCTTCGACAGTCTCATAGAACATACGCATGGAGACAGGGATGAATGAAACAGTTCATGTGATCAAGGACTTTTGTGTGTTTGTGGTCACATTGTTTTGTTTTTTCTTTCTTTATTCCATTAACCACCTTGACGTAACAGTGTCCTGCTCCTGATGCATTTTGTTCTGACTCTCACCACTCTTAGCTGCAATATTTTTTCTCCTTACAGCAACAGTTGAGCATAGTGTCCAGTGCTGCTGCTTCTTCTTCTTCTGCTTAAAATATCCTTGCTTGAAAGTTCTTGAATGAAAACACAGGCAATGACGAACACAAACATAAATAATAACTGTGCCAATCATCACAAGTACCATTTGATTGTGGTGTCTTAACCATATTTTTTCCTATGGCGTTTGGATAAATACCTACACACCTCTCTTCACATCCAGCACACTCCTGATTCACAGATAAACACAATATCACTGCTGTATCTACCAATTTAACCCAAACACTCGTTATTACTGCTGCATTTACCAATTTAATCTAAACACTCGTTATCACTGCTGTATTTAACCAATTTAATCTAAACATTAACCAAAACAATTACATTCCTATTTACCACCCTTCTATTTAAACATGTATAGATAACCCAAAATGCCTACTTTCTCTTATCCCTCTTATTTTTTTGTTTTTTGAATTGCAACCACTCATGCACTTTACACAGACACAAATCAAACACCTACTGGACAATGGGGTTCCCTCGTTAGAGCCCTCCCACCCCAGTTTGGTTTACACAAAAATACCCCCTGGTCCCTATGGGTCAATCCCCCCCTTTCCCAGGCAAGCATACATACATACAACAATAATAATACATAAGGGTTTCAATTGCAATACAATCACTAGAAATAAGAGAATAGTATGCACAAAATCATAGCATAGACATGTTAAATAGACAATAAAATAAAACATTCAATAGCTCATCAAAGGTCAACATTTAAACACTGGTCTCCATCTGATATTCTATCTGTGTTCCAATGTCCACCCCTGGTTTCTGCTACATCTGAAAAAGGTAAGAAAACAGATCAGGATTACTTTTCCTTGTCACTTATAGCGTATACTGCCAAATCCTTTACTTAGCATATATACATATATACACATATAAATACATTCCCTAAACTTTTCATTTTATAAACAATTTGTTCAACAAGGTAACTTTCTTAATTTTCTACTTGGCTCTTAAAATAAACAATCAGCTAATAGCTGCTTTCTGCATCTTCTCTGCAATTCAGAAAACACATTTCTAGCCAACCTAAACATGTTTAATAACTCTCCACCCTTTGGTTAAATTATAGAGGAGTGAACCACAACACCTCTTCCGCCTCTGAAAGGATATAGGTCAATATGTCTCAAAGTTCAACACTTCTGACAGCTATGAGTGACTCCCTATTAATTTCTAGCCTTTCCACGGACATGCTTGCACCTCGCGGCTAAGGGCCTGCACAACTAACCACCCTGTGATGGCAGTGGCTTTCCGCATGGGGGTGACCGCCCCCGCAAAATTATAGAGGAGCAAACATACAGCAGCCTCTTTTCCGGCTTGATTAAAGGTTCTGGGCCAATATGTCTGCAATTTAACCAGTACACTCACGTATCACTTATTGTATATTTCCTGGTCTCTCAGGAATTTCTATTAAATAGCGTATCCCCTTCCCAGGGCAATATACAACAAAAACTAGTCACCAAGGGTCTCTATGGTCATGATAGGCCACCCTACCACTAGTGTAATACGCCCTTTTTTTAAAATATATTTCCTGGTCTCTCAGAGATTTTGCCTATCCCTTTCCCAGAGCAATATATATAAACAATTACAAATAAGTTACAAAACGCTACTTATAAGTAATACAGGGTTTCAAATAATAATACAGGATAGAACTGCACAACAACTATTGGGTATGCTCCCCCTTATCCGGACACGTTTAAATACCCCCTAGCTCAGGTTCCCCACCCGCTACTGTAACTAAAATCACAGCCCACGTTATGGAGGTTCACCCGCTAGGCAGATACACCCTAATTCAAAGCATGGAAATATTAAAATCAGTTATAGATGGCTAATAAAATAATATAAATCTTAATCTGAGCCCCTACACTTACTTTGTTAAAAATGCTAACTTGTTAAAATATTCAGACTAAATAGGACAAAGGAATTATTTTACCATTTTTTCAGTTCATTTGTTACCAGTTCCTGCATATGTCCAGTAATTCCTTAGTCCTGGATAATAAAGCTGAAAAACACTCCACAAATTGATTAGTTTAGGCAATTACATTTACAAAACAATGCAGTTTATTTTTTCTCATACAGGCAAGACTACCCACCCCCAACAAGGACAAATTCTCCCCCAGCTGTAGCTGAAAAGCATGGTCACACAGCTGTTAAAAAGGTGGTCTCTCCTTCAAGAGTCAAAATCATATATATATATTTATACTAATATTCTGTGTATACGCACACATAAATCTATTATTCACTGAATCTGCTTTACTAAACGTATCTTTTTCTTAACTATTAATTTAATACATTTGTCCAAATCTCTTTTCAACTAGACAAATCCATGAATGCCAAACAAATGTAAATTAGTACACAAACAGGGTCAAATTTAGCAATAAAACCTGGTGAACTAGTTTAGTGAAAAGTCTTTTCCTATGCAAATGGTAGCAAACAATGAAACTAGGCCTCAACTCATTCACACCATGTGGTCAATGGTGGATTAAAATCCACATGGTCAGACAAAAAGTAAAATTGTTTTTTGTTTTATATATAAAAATGACCAAAGGTTGGTAAAACGTAACAAGCAACACAATAATTCATCACTATGTTCTACAACAAGAGATACCTTAAAAAACAAATATCTAATCCCTATCTGCTATCTGCATTCATTCCATTAAAACCAAATCATCATTCATTTATTCATTTGTATACAGACAGACAATTTACAGTATGATTTAAGCAAAATGCATAACATTTATATTTTCCCCAATATTCAAGCATAATCCTGCCGACTACGCCAAATGTTGTGGTCGTGACCTAAATATGAATATTAATCTCTTAATACATAATAATTAAGCAATACGGAACAACATTAATATTTTTATAATTCATGGTATTATGGTCGAATATGTGGATAGAAAATACACAAAACGTTGTAATATTAAATGTATATTTAATATAACTATAACAAATAAACAGATGCTAGCAGAATGTCAATTTACTACAATTATGATACAATACAAAACTACAACATATTACTTACAAAAGGTTGCTACTTACAAGGCCCCAGCCCTTTGGCTGGGGTTAAGTCAGAGCTGGTACTACATCTTAGGTTCAGTCAGGTACAGGCAAAGAGACAGAGTTTTCTCCTCCATCTGGTTTTATTCAGTGTAAGTAGGCTGGCATGTGATGTCACTGCCAGAAGCACATGTCTTCCTACACACTCCCTCTAGTGGTGCCCCCAAAGCATTACACTAAATATGCTTTCTTTATGATGTAAAGTCATTAATTAGTAAATACCATTACACCAGTTTTGCTTGACCCTTCAATACGTAGCCTCGTCTCGTTCTATGCCTGACTCTACTCTTGGATCTCGTGGATGGGAATAAGAAACTCCATTACTACACATCAGCTTGCCAGGAAAAGGACGTCTCCAACTGCTGATACTGTAGATACGAATATCCATTTTGCTATCTATCCTAGCTGTTCATATAAGGGTTAATGTGAACCAAGAATAAATTTGGAATTGTATCTTCGATTCTGGGAAGAATTTATCTAATATCATTTACGAGAATGACCATACTGATTTCGAAATGTTCTTGTTAATTGTCCAAGATTTTGGTATTTGTAAATATCTGGTTTTGATCAAATATGCATGCGGTATATAACATAGAATTATAATGAGAAACAGCTGCTCATAACTTGTGAAAAACAATCTATGTCATTGCCACGCCCATATGCTAATTTTTCCCCCTCCCATCCTGCTATGAAAACGGGGTATTAATATAACTGACGAATGAATACAATTTGAATTGGTTATTGAACACGTCTCTGCTATTCATTTCCAATTTCCAGATCTCTGAATGAGTTGGCAAATATCCATCATCCACAAAGGGCCCGGGCTGATTTGATCCCCAACAAACTGGATGTTTGGCATTACTCCGGCTTGCTATTTTATGTGCTATTTTATGATGTGCAACGCTGATTTTAAGCATAAAGTCTTAATTGAGAGAATGTATAAAGTACATGTAAAGGTGATGATGAATAAGAAAAAAAAAATTAGAGGTTATTTAAGAGGGCTACAAATTCTAGAACTAATATGATTTCTCTATGTTTGTTTGCATAATGAGCCCTTTATTTTTATACTTGGACAAAAGTACTATAAGTCCACTACACTTTTTCATGAGAGTGGGATGTGTGATTGTTTATATGATGAGCCGTTTATTTTCATATTGGGACAAAAAGTAACTTCATTCAAAACACCAAACACCACATTCTTTCTGCCCTGTGTGTTTGTTGCAGAGAATTTATGTTGTAAATGTAGATAATTATAAATTAGAGAGCAAAATTTATATTTTCAGCGGTTCAACACATGCTTCATTTTGTGCTGTAAGCTAACTTGTAGTATTCCAGTACGTCACATGTTGTATGTGCTTTAAATTGTATGTATTCTGTAAATTATTGTATGGGGATTCTGAGATTTTATTGATTGTGACCCAAACTGTGAAGAAGTAGGTTTGAAATTTTGGTCATGGAATGTAGGATCAGAAAACCACGGACAAAGGTTTTTACCTGTGTTGATATGACTTTTGGGAACTCAAATTGACCGGTCAAAATTTTGCCATGCCTTTAACATGGAGTAGTATAAAAATATTTTGAGTCTTTGAGAGTTCTGACAAATGCAGGTGATACCATGTTTGTGTAATCTGGTCCAAATGTTCTATAAGCGTATAAGAGAGAAATTCTATTGACAGGGAACATATGTTGCAACTGGTTAACGCAAATGTTATACAAAATTTTGAGTCAAACGCTTTATTTGGCCATACGGGATCCCTTCTTTAAAAAGAAAAAATAAACCCTTTGGTACCAGAACTCTTAAATAAATCTGATACAAACTAAAATTGGTATACCTTACAATAATATGTTCTGAATACAGCTGTTAAAAGTTTATTCTGTGTAAATGGTGATTGTGATAAATGTGTGTTTTGGGTACTTATTTTGAAGTGTGCACTTTAATTGTCATGTATGGTAATGGGTATTTTGCTTTGTTTTTTTTTAATTACCGGTATATTTGAATAAGTTTGTCTCAGTATTGATACAGATGGAAATGGCAGCGTAATAATCTATTAAATAACTGATTTATTATTGAATACTAGTCCAAGAGCAATATGAGTTGTTGTCTTAAGAAAGAAATATAAGGGGGGAGTCTGTTTTTGTAAGTTTTAGCTGATTTCTAAAATTCTGTTGCAATAATGGACTTCCGGCCAAAATTTGACTTTCCTGTCCAGTTGCCAGGTGCTCTGATCTAATCTTAAAGCAATACTGCTTGCAAAGTTTGGGAACCTACATTACATGTATTAATTTATTTTGGATTGAGTTAATTGCCTGACCATGAATATGCTTTTTGTATTGGCATGTCTTCTGGATATCTGCTAATTTCGTTGTGTTCTGTGTTATAAGACGTGTGATATTACAATGAGTACGAAGAATATTTAAAGAATATTTGCATGTCATTAACACAAGCCTTTAGTGTCTTTTTACAACAGATTAAAAAAACGCCGATCAGCCGACAAGAAAGGGGTCCCTGGGAAAGAAAAGGAAAAAAATCATCTGCTTTTCAAAATCGTGGATCCACGTTTCCAATTTGAAACTTCTCTTTCTCTCTCTCCGTATTATTTGGTGAGTATTTAGAGTTAACTCTACTTTTAAAGTGCATTGCATTATTTAAGTCAAAGAAAAAGAAAAATGTGTTATCTTTAACATAAACAATTGTTATGTTATATGGTTATATAACAAAAACAATTATGGATGTATAGGATAGGTTTTTTCCAAGATTAAGATTCATCTAGTATGCCTCATTGATTATAGCAAAATGATGAAATGGTATTTTTAATAGAGATCAGATAATTTCTTTTGAGGCAATTCTTAAATACTGTATTATATTTGTATTGGTATATTGAAAGCATTTTGCAGACTCAGAAGAGAATGAATAATATAATAATTATAAAAGGAACCATACTATAGGAAGAGGTCACCCTATTAAATCGCTAAGGGGTTAAACTCATTTTTGATAAGCATATAAAATTTAGTTTTTGTGCTTAGAATTTTTGATACTCAATTTGAACTCAATTGAAGTATTACAACCATATCCTTGCAGGTATGGGAAACATCTGCAATATGATTTTAATATTTGCAATATATTAGTGTTTTCAATGTATTCTGACAATGGAAAAGTACCTAACCGCATGTCTGCATTACACCCATGACCCAGACTGTCAGTATTGCAAACCCTATATGAAGACTCTGCTTTCACTGTTTATGTATACACCCCTAGACAACCGTGCTATACATACACAATAAATCTTCAAAAGCTTATTAATATTATATCTGTGTGGTACACAAAGAGGGGTACACAAAGAGGGGGTGTGAGTTAGGTAATCTCGACCTGCATATGTAATATGCTTCCTCCTTGTTCACTTTTGGTTAAACTGTTGGTCTGTGACTGGCCCTCTTTGACCCCAACTGAATTTCTTGGGAAGATTCATGAGAAAGATACAGCAGGTTGTTTTGATATAAAGAAAGAGGGAAAAGTATGTTGTATCAGTCACAAAGGATTGTGATCTTAAGCAGGCGAGACAAGGATATTTGGGAGGTGATAGGAAATGGAATCAGAAAAGTTTTAGAGGCAGAGGTAGAGAATTTGATCAAAGGATCTAACTTTTGTAGAGGTGGTAACTTCAGCACTGTTTTAATTGTGGATAGCAGGGGTGAACCTGGTTCTCCCGGTCATGCTGGCCCCACTGGTATTGCTGGTGTCCCTGGCTTCCCTGGTGCCTGTGGTGCTCCTGGACCTCAAGGCCCCAGAGGTTCCCCTGGTAACAATGGTGGACTTGGTGCTCAAGGAGACAAAGGAGAACCAGGTGCTAAGGGAGAACCTGGCCCAGCTGGCATTCAAGGACCCACCCTGGCAGGTTCCTCAATACCAACCTATACCCACACCCAACAACCTCAGCCTAATACACAGATGGTTCATGGTTTTTAATATTTTATATATAGTTTTGAGTGATAAAACAGTATTAATGCTGGCTCTTAGAGGATGTACAAGCTGAAGTTGGGACCTAGACATTGTTTGCATAGGCTGCGCAATGTGAAATAACTAAAATGAAATAGGATAATAATAAGTATGCTTAGTCAATTTGTAATGTGGTATAATAGAGGCATCTGCAATAAAATAAGTGGGTTTCCAGGACCTGACAATTGAGGGCAACTTAATAACATATGTCTACAGTTTGCTGCCCCTTCCTTATCAGAGGCCACTTGCAACCTTAACACAGCAAGACAACTCTTCCGAAACCTGTATTAAACAAAGCACTTTGGAACAATAGTAATTCATTTTGTTTCTCCTATTTCATTCCTAGTTGTTCTGGAAAAAAATATTGTTTAAGTAGGATAACTGTATGGAGTTCCACCATGTATTAAAACATGATCAAGCACATACAGAACTGGTGGCTTTTTGGACATCGGGATCTATAAAAGGTTTAGGTTTCCAAAGATGTTATCAGTGTCCACAAAACTGACAGACTTCAGCATTCCAATTTTATTAAAGTAATTAATTGAGATGATCAAATCAAGGTTTAAGATCAGCATTTTATTAGGAATTATACCAATATGTATATGTTAGTGTTTTAGTACCCAACAAGCATTTATATAGAATGAGTGCTTCTCTCATCCATACAAAGGCATTCTAAAGGAAAATTATGTATTAAAATTTTATAAAGGACAAATTCAATGAAATATAAGCAAAACATAGAGAAGTACAGTAATTTATTGATGTCGTACTGATCCTTGTGTTTGTATGATTATAGAGACCGTATTTGTGCCGCCTGATATTTGGGACTACACACCAATCTCTCTGGCTTACCTACCTACCTTTTTTGCAATTAAATCTGTTTGGTCAAAATCTATGCTGGCGAAGAAACTGAGATGCTTACTTATGAGGACATTAACTAACTTGGAAAGTCCTGAAGATGCAGTGCTGTCTAATGCCGCTATTTCTGTATTACCCTTTCAACAATTGGGGTGTTGCACAGAGTATTGTGGTGAACATCCAGCAAACAGAAGAATAAAGAACTATGTGGAAGCTGACATTGTCTTGTTGTCAGCCATATTGCTACCCTTAGCTATGTTATGGTGTCTAAGATTATGGAACAAAGTTTATGGTTTCTGAGATTCTTTATACTCCTTGTACGACTTATAATATTTTTCTGGACTATGCTGGACTATTGAACAATTTTATTATTTTTATTTTTGTAGAGTTAGCCAGAGAGAGAGGAAGTGTTAGCTTACTCAGGCATGGATGTGTTATATGTGTCATTGATGTATGTTGAGTGTACCAAGGATGGATTCCCATGTATTAAGTGTGGATATGACTGGACCATCAAAATAGGGATATGATTAAGAGACATAGGATGCAAGGTCATGATTGGGATTATTGTTAGAATTTCAAGCTGATTATAAGTTATCTCATGAATTAATATGTAAGTGGGCCTTTTCAAACTCATCAAGAAGCGTTTCCCAATCCCAATAACCGAGCTATTTACTTACAAGTGCGGGTTTTATAAGTCACTAATGCTGTCAACGTGAGGAGATGACATGTCTACACAGTCATGGCCCTCACTTAGAGTTTCCTCAGATGTGCTTTTTTCCTCAAATATGAGTTTTTGCCACTGTTTTTTTTTTTGACCTGGCCCAAGATCACTGGGTGGACTGGTAATCCAAGACCCTGATCCAAAGAGGGGGAATAGATATTATTCCCATTTTGACTATATGTGTTTACATTGTGAATTATAATAATAATATTCCCGTTGTTGGAAATAATACACTTTGCCTGTTTTGATCCAAGGCTCAAGTTACAGATAAAATGATGTGCAGTCTGTTTAAAATTGGTTAACATGTCAGCTGTTTAAAATATTTAACTTGTACACTTAAAAGATGTATTCAACAGATAATTGAAAAAGCTGAAAATTGACAGCTCAAACTCCTCTTAAAGGGAAAACCTAAGACACAGAGCAAATGGGGGAAATCGAGGTGAAGAAATAACGAAAGTCCCGCAGGCATGATTAGCACGTCTCAATATACCTCCTTTCATTTCTCTGCCGCAGGCCTCCCATGGATATTTTCCGTAAGGTAGATCATGATATGATCTAAGAGGGGAATTGTAGATACGAATATCCATTTTGCTATCTATCCTAGCTGTTCATATAAGGGTTAATGTGAACCAAGAATAAATTTGGAATTGTATCTTCGATTCTGGGAAGAATTTATCTAATATCATTTACGAGAATGACCATACTGATTTCGAAATGTTCTTGATAATTATCCAAGATTTTGGTATTTGTAAATATCTTGTTTTGATCAAATATACATGTGCTATATAACGTAGAATTATAATAAGAAACAGCTGCTCATAACGTGTGAAAAACAATCTATGTCATTGCCACGCCCATATGCTCATTTTTCCCCCTCCCATCCTGCTATGAAAACGGGGTATTATATAACTGACGAATGAATACAATTTGAATTGGTTATTGAACACATCTCTGCTATTTATTTCCAATTTCCAGAGCTCTGAATGAGTTGGCAAATATCCATCATTCACAAAGGGCCCGGGCTGATTTTATCCCCAACAAATACCCCCTTACAACCTGGGTAGCCGTTACAACGACTTTTGAAAGCATGGTTATGCAAGATCTTAACAGGATTAAACCTGTCAAAACTAATGAATATAATCTAAGTTTTATAGAAGAAAAACTTTGAAAGACCTTAAAAATGACACATCACTGGTAATTAAACCAGCAGATAAGGGGGGATTGTTCTTCTGGAAAGAGAGGATTATATAGATGAATCAAATAGATTGCTCAATGACACTAAAACCTATGTGATATTACAGAAAGACCCCACTAATGATGTTAAGGTACAATATCATAAATTAATTGATAAAGGGAAATTGGAAGGTATCCTTAACAAACAAGAATCTGAATTTTTAAGCATTCAATATCCCAAAATTCCGATATTTTATTACCTTCCAAAGATTCATAAAAGCACCACTAAACCACCAGGACAGCCGATTATCTGAGGCATAGGGTCTATCTCTAGTAGACTCTCACAATTCATTGATAGATGCCTACAACCTACAGTCCAGAAATGTCCCAGTTATCTCAAGGACACCATGAATATTCTACAGATTCTAAGACATATCACATGGGATACTGATTATTTCTTGGCTACGGCGGATGTAAATTCGCTCTATACAATAATAGAGCATACCAAGGGTTGTGAAGCTACAAAATATTTTCTTGATAATTCAGGAGAATTTCCCGAGTCACAAATAGGCTTTATACTGGAGGGGATCAATTGGATCCTTAACAATAATTATTTTTGTTTTAATGGTAATTTTTATTTGCAGATCTGTGGGACGACGATGGGCACGAGGTTTGTGCCTAGCTACGCTAATCTGTTTATGTCCTTTTGGGAACATAAATTTATCTTTGCAGATTGCAGATGGGGCGCAAACCTGGTGACCTATCGCCATTACATTGATGACATTTTTTTCATTTGGAAGGGTAGTAGTGAATCTTTGGACTGTTTTTTTGAACATCTGGAAGACAACAATTGGGGTATCAAATTACAGTAAGAATTACAGTAAGAATTCAGTTGAATTTTTAGATTTGAATATATATATTGAGGATAACACTATTAAGACAAGCACTTTCTTCAAGAAAGTGGATGTCAACAGCTACATCCAACAAACAAGTTGCCACTATTCACCTTGGCTTTTCAATGCACCAAAAGCACAATTACTTAGGGTAAAATGCAATTGCACAGACACTAATGTGTTTCAAAAACAGGCTCAGAAAATTATTAAAGACTTTTCTGAAAAGGGATATGATAGACAATTACTACAGACAGCTTACCATCAAACATCAATCAGAGACAGAGAGTCCCTATTAGAATACAAACATAAACCAGCTACATTTGAAAATAATTAGATATCTTTTATGTGCGATTTTAATGTTCAGGGCAACCAAGTAAAGAAACAATCTCTAAACATTGGCCCATTTTAAAAAGTGACGAAACATTGAATACACTTTTACCAGACAAACCCAGAATAATATATCGGGGAGTACCCAATTTATGTAACAGTCTTACAAATAATTACACGAACACAAAGACTACAAACCCATTCAACGAACGCATGGGCTTTTACGGCTGTGGGGTATGTGGAGCTTGTAGAAGCACAAATAGTAAAAAAAAGAGAAATTAGGCAATTTATACACCCAAAAGACCCCCAAAAAAGTTTTACAATTAAAAACATCATTACATGCCATTTTTTATATAATACAGTCTATATTTTATACAGTTCTTCTCTATAAGAGTTACCAAATTCTTCCTTCATATATTGCACCTCTAATACTATTTTTTGTGTTTTCTTTCCATATTTTTTGTGATGGACGTTTTAAACCATTGCCTTAAGTTGCACTGTCGGCTAACGTTATGCCAATACACAATATGGCGATATCGGAATACCGGAAGTGACGTCAGATATTCTCCGATACGTCACTTCCGGGTATACGAAACTAACTGCAAACAGCTGATCCGGCCGACAACCCCATAGACTGGTAAACGATTGGACTAAAGACACACAGGGGGACCAATCATAGACGAACCACCAGATATAAAACCTGAACAACACGCACAGAAGAGGATACAGATTGTGAAAGCCTGTTGGTTCAGGCGAAACGCGTCTCGGACTCCTTTTTGGACGGCAACATTCACTTTTAGGACTTAATACATGTGGTATTTTTATTTGTTGTTTTTATATACCAAATATTTTGGCTAAATAAATTTTGTTAAATAAACATCTAAGTCCCATATTTTGCTATTATCCTCTGCTGTAAAGAAGAGTTGTGCCTTCTTAAAGGCACAGTGTGCATTATTCTGAGAGCCCAGTATTTTGGCTCTCAATAAGGTGAGCAGTGACTTTATTTACAGTTTTAGTGAAGATAACATACTATATATGTCTTATCTTTCTTTTTATTGCTGAGTATTCCACAACTGTACACTGAAGTATTTGGTATTATCCAGGGCCGTCTTTAGCGCGGGGCAAACGGGGCAGCTGCCCCGGGCCCAGTTGCTCCTGGGGGCCCCCAGAGCAGCTGCTCTGTGGGCCCCGCGATTTGCGCAGCCGCATCGTCTCACACGCTAAAGAGGGCCCCCGTGTGGCCCATGCACTAAGGGCCACCTGGTGGGCATTTGTCAGCAGGGGCCCGGTCGGGCGATGTGACGCTTAAAAAGCGCGACCGGGCCCCTTCCTGTTTGGCAGCCGGCTGGGAGGAAATGAGTGCCGCGTGTCACTTCCTCCTACAAGAGATCAGAGCCGCGCGGGAGGAGGAAGGCAGGGAGGAGAGGAGTTTCAGAGGAGAACTCCCAACTGCCTCAGCCTGCCACTGGACCCCAGGGAAACCACTCTCCAGAAAAGGTAAGGGTAGTTGGAGGGTGGCTAAATGTATGTCAGTATGTCTGTGCGTGTCAGTATGTCTGTGAGTGTGTCAGACTGTATGTCTGTCAGTGTGTGTGTCAGTATGTCTGTCTGTATGTTAGTATGTCTGTGTGTGTGTGTCAGTATGTCTGTCTGTGTGTATGTCAGCATGCCTGTGTGTGTGTCAGCATGTCTGTGTGTGTGGTCAAAATTATGTCAGTATGTGTGTCTGTGTGTCAGTATGTCTGTCTGTGTGTATATCAGTATGCCTGTGTGTGTCAAATATCTGTCTGTGTGTGTGTCAGTATGTCTGTGTGTGTGTGGCAGTATGTCTGTGTGTGTGGCAGTATGTCTGTGTGTGTCAAATATCTGTCTGTGTGTGTGTGTCAGTATGCCTGTGTGTGTCAAATATCTGTCTGTGTGTGTGTGTCAGTATGTCTGTGTGTGGCAGTATGTCTGTGTGTATGTCAGTATGTCTGTCTGTGTGTGTGTCAGTATGTCTGTCTTTGTGTGTGTCACTATGTCTGTCTTTGTATGTGTCACTATGTCTGTCTGTGTAAGTGTGTGTATATCAGTATGCATGTGTGTGTCAGCATGTCTGTGTGTGTGTTAATACTTCTCTCAGTGTCTGTGTGTGTGTCAGTATATCTGTCAGTGTATGTGTCTGTGTGTGTATGTATGTGTGTGTGTGTGTCAGTATGTCTGAATGTGTGTCAATATGTCTGCCGGTATATATTTGTGTGTCAGTGTATGTGTGTGTCAGTATGTATCTGTGAATGTTTTAATATGTCTGTCTGTGTGTATGTGTCAGTATGTCAGTGTGATTGGGGGTTGGGCGTAATTGAGGGCGAGGGGGGATTGGGAGGGTCGCACGGCCCAGGGGGCCCAACAAAATTTTTTGCCCAGGGTCCTATTCATATTATAGACGGCCCTGGTATTATCTATAAATACCTCTGCGCATGAGATCTATGCCTGTTCCCCCTAAGGCTCTGCACCATGTGAGTGTGCTTTATACGGATAATATATCACTCTATTTGTTTAAGACATACTGTACCATATTTTGTCCACTTCTTTCCCTTAGAAATTCTGTTGCATTTTATTCCCTTATTTTAGGGTAAGTGTACATATTTAGCGCTCCACTGGTTTTTGTTTGATGTGGTTGGTTCTTCCCACTCAAATAATATTCCACTATCTGGTTTGCATGTTACTGTGTTAAGTTAGAGGTACTAACACGAGTGTCGAGCTGCTTTTTGAATCTTTTATGTAAATTTATTTTAAGCACCTTATACTGACACAGCACATTCACTTTATTTTACAGTGTAAGCAGTGTTTAGGTGATAGGGTCACAGTGTAAGCAGTGTTTAGGAGATACGGTCACAGTGTAAGCAGTGTTTAGGAGATACGGTCACAGTATAAGCATTGTTTAGGTGATACAGTCACAGTGTAAGCAGTGTTTAGGAGATCCGGTCACAGTATATGCAGTGTTTATGGGATACGGTCACAGTGTAAGCAGTGTTTAGGAGATACGGTCACAATGTAAGCAGTGTTTATGGGATACAGTCACAGTGTAAGCAGTGTTTAGGTGATATGGTCACAGTATAAGCAGTGTTTAGGAGATACTGTCACATTATAAGCAGTGTTTAGGTGATACGGTCACAGTATAGTAGTGTTTAGGTGATACAGTCACAGTGTAAGCAGTGTTTAGGAGATACTGTCACATTATAAGCAGTGTATAGGCAATACGGTCACAGTGTAAGCAGTGTTTAGGTGATACGGTCACAGTATAAGCAGTGTTTAGGTGATACAGTCACAGTATGAGCAGTGTTTAGGAGATACGGTCACAGTATAAGCAGTATTTAGGTGATACAGTCACAGTGTAGGTAGTATTTAGGTGATACGGTCACAGTGTAAGCAGTGTTTCGGTGATATGGTCACAGTATAAGCAGTGTATAGGCGATACGGTCACAGTGTGAGCAGTGTTTAGGAGAGACGGTAACAGTGCATGCAGTGTTTAGGCGATACGATCACAGTATAAGCAGTGTTTAGGAGATATGGTCACAGTATAAGCAATGTATAGTCGATACGGTCACAGTGTGAGCAGTGTTTAGGAGAGACGGTAACAGTGTAAGCAGTGTTTAGGCGATACGATCACAGTATAAGCATTGTTTAGGTAATATGGTCACAGTGTAAGCAGTGTTTAGGTGATACAGTCACAGTGTAAGCAGTGTTTAGGAGATCCGGTCACAGTATAAGCAGTGTTTATGGGATACAGTCACAGTGTAAGCAGTGTTTAGGAGATCCGGTCACAGTATAAGCAGTGTTTATGGGATACGGTCACAGTGTAAGCAGTGTTTAGGAGATACGGTCACAATGTAAGCAGTGTTTATGGGACACGGTCACAATGTAAGCATTGTTTATGGGATACGGTCACAGTGTAAGCAGTGTTTAGGTGATATGGTCACAGTATAAGCAGTGTTTAGGTGATACGGTCACAGTATAGTAGTGTTTAGGTGATACAGTCACAGTGTAAGCAGTGTTTAGGAGATACTGTCACATTATAAGCAGTGTATAGGCGATACGGTCACAGTGTAAGCAGTGTTTAGGTGATACGGTCACAGTATAAGCAGTGTTTAGGTGATACAGTCACAGTATGAGCAGTGTTTAGGAGATACGGTCACAGTATAAGCAGTATTTAGGTGATACGGTCACAGTGTAAGTAGTATTTAGGTGATACGGTCACAGTGTAAGCAGTGTTTCGGTGATATGGTCACAGTATAAGCAATGTATAGTCGATACGGTCACAGTGTGAGCAGTGTTTAGGAGAGACGGTAACAGTGTAAGCAGTGTTTAGGCGATACGATCACAGTATAAGCATTGTTTAGGTAATATGGTCACAGTGTAAGCATTGTTTAGGTGATATGGTCACAGTGTAAGTAGTGTTTATGGGATTCGGTCACAGTGTAAGCAGTGTTTAGGTGATACGGTCATAGAAACTGCTCATACTGTGCAGTCTACTATGATGGTTTTTGATGCTCAGGTATCTGAGGTTGTCTTTCTGCCTTTCTGTTTTATATTCCGTTTAGGTCTCGGTCTCTTTTTCAATATGCGCATGCGCGCTTTGTGCGCGCATGCCCAACAGAATACGGAACTGGTTCTTTGAATTTCGGTATATTCCCGCGTCTCTGTGCGTTCCACGGATGGAACGCACGCCGAACAACAGATGCACGGAATCAAATGAAGATTTTTACCGGTATTTAAACCGGAGGAAAAGATGTATAGAAGTATCCCTGAAGAAGTCCTATATTTTTACAGGACAAAACGCGTTGGACTTTTATATATGGACTTATATTTCATATTGCCATTTTATATTGTTTTTTAATTTGCATGTATTTGTATTTTGGCCGCTCTTTGATAACCCCTCCTGTTAGTTCCTATTTTGGATTGATGACTACACTGCATGGAATTCCAGGTTATTGAGAGATACGCTCTTTGTGATATACACACATGTAAGTGTGACCAATAAATTGTGATTTTGTATTTTAATAACAAACTTCACTATCTGTGATTTCCTTTATTTTCATATGTTCTATGAGATGATTTCCCAGTCTATCCATCGCATCACATACTGCCCCTGAGTGGGCGAGAAGCCTTATTCCACGTGTGTTTGTGAGTGTATCTACAATCACTTATATTTATATATTTAAAAGTTTCTTAACTGTATTACGCTATGTTAGATTTCTGATCCCTATACAGAATTCATATGGAATACATTTTCCATCAGGTTGTTGTATATTTTATATATTAATTTACACGTATTCTGGGTGTTTTCCACTTTTTTGCTATTTTATATTATTTTATATATTGTTGAATCAAAAATATTTAGAGACCCAAGGTGGCGATGCAACCCAAGTTATGGGGTAGCCTACCACCCAGGGGATCCAAATAGACACCTTAAGGGACACTCCAGTGGGTATCCTAGGGCTTAACCCTTTGTTGATGAACAAAAAGAAAAAAGTAAAAAACCCCACTTCACTGAAAATACAATCAGTGACAAGAGTTTTTTAAACTGGAAATAATAAATGACATACGAACTGTAGAACTAATCTCAATAGTAAACCTAAATATAATGCAGAAAGGTCTATTAGAACCGGACCTTAGAAACTTTCAAACGTGTAGTGAAAAAAGTCTAAGCCTTTCGGCTAAACCTCTCTTAAATCCACCGTAAGAGATTAGAATTGCAAGACTCTCTGACTTTATTAATAATAGAATGTGTCACAGTCTGCATAATTCATATGATTCTAAGTTAGTAAGATTACGGGGAGCATCCCAAATTATACTGCAGTGACCATAACAGTAATTAGGCAACTAAAATATTGGCAGTTAAAAGTCCATACAGCGAAAGATCATTAGGACCGTTAGGTCTCACTGTCAGTGTGAACACAATGATGCCTGCTCGTGTTGCCAATATATGTGAGGTCAACTGTAGAAAAAGTATCTAGATAAAATCAATATACAGTATCTATATTGGAAACATGTCCAAACAGCCAGATAGGAAACAAATTCAAATACTAATGTATCACCTATTCAGAGCTACTAGATACAAAGTGGGAGCTTGAGAGAGAGGAACAAGAAAAAAAGAAAGATGAACTAAATAGTGCTAGAGGGCAGAACCATTCTTAGAATGTTGGTTGCCTGCCCTTAGTGTAAAGTGCCCAGTGCAAAAATATAAGGGAAAAAGTGACAGGTGAACCCGACGCGCGTTTCGGTGCTTAGGACATGCACCTTCGTCAGGGGCTAAAGTTGAAAAGTTCCCAAGTGTCTTGTTTTTATATGCTATGGTTAAACTGGTATATTAATTGCTGAGCCAATCAAAAGTATAATCATGTCCGTTATTTGAGTGCCAAACTGAGTGGGCTTGTTAGAGCATTCATTAGATTCGAACCCACCAATCAAATCCAGTTCCTGAAGGACCTATCGGCAGATCCGAACGATTAACTCATTCGTGTACTTCATATTGACATCGTTATCACATGAAGTATTCCGTAATAGAAGTCGGTCCCACAGCTGATATTTATACTTTTGCAATGTGATTACTGTTGATTAATAAAATATTTCCCTTTCATTCGTTTGTGTCATGTGCCTTAATCATTTTCAAATACACTCGAACTGATGTTACTAGATAAAAGAATAGTACATATATGATCATTCTTCTGAATACTCCTGTACGTTTGATACATGAATAAATAATGCACGTCTACTCAAAATACTGAATAGACCTATTCATTTACAAAATCAGGTGATAAAAATTACTGTTATATGATTGTTATATATACACCAAATGGGTTACACACTTTAAGATGTAATCGAACTGCTTCTTAATAAGAAAATGGAAATACATATATGCTCAGTTGAACTGTTTATAGCTGTTCAATTATTATAGTAGGTTACAGTAATTATATAATGAAAAGTTAATAATGAAAATTAACGAGTAGAGCATCATACCTGGTATATTCCCAGAAGTCCCGTTCCCTAAGTCACATGCAGTTACAACATACACAACAGCCATTTGTAGTTGTTATAGGGGGACTAACTTAATCAGAATACGATACAATAAAATAAAATAAACAATGGAGATATTAGCGTGAC